GGCAACATAGTGACGTGCTTGGTCTCGTTATCCGTATGAAAATGATCCACATTTTATTATGCATTTTATAAAAGAAATGGAGAATGCCTTCGTTTACACATCAGGTGGAGAAAAGAGTCACTTCTTATGTTCGTTTCTAATTTATTGAATATCCAATTGACATTTGAAGAATAAGTGAAATACGAAATCACTCTTTTAAATATGTGTAAAAATTAAAATCAAAATTTTCCTCTAAGTGAGATATGATAGCACGTCACAGGTCAATTTCCAGTCCAAAAATTTGTTAGGAGGAAGGAGCGTACCAACTTATAATGCCCAGGACTGGTCCAGTTCTGGTGCGTGTTCAATGTGGCCTAGGAGAATCAGCACAGCCAAGGCATAATAGGAGACCACTAAACAGAAAACTAAGTCGCATAGATGAAGGAAATAGGGAGACTGCAACTAGCCACGGACCTGTAAGCCGGAATTTTTTTTTTTTGTATTATATACTTGATTTTTTTTTTTTTTTTATTATACCATGCCCCCTTGAAATTTCATAAATGCCCCCTACTGTATAAGTTTTCAAAATATTATTTTATCTCTTTCACACTTTGGTTCTCTCATCTCTGCCTCGTACGTGAATATATATGATATATTAGACAATATAGTTTCAAGCCTACTGCCTTCAGCAATTCTTTCCATTACCGACCAGCCCCTACCTCCATCCTGCAATCCTGTCTCTCTTTCATATACACGACACCCATAAACACAATACTCACTTGCAATTTGTTATCGTAGTTGTTATTAAAAGACCCCCCCTTGACATAATTTCATGGGTCCGTCACTGACTGCAACCCTCTTGGCTTGGTTCGAATCCTTGAATTTAATGGAATGGAGCTAACATATTTCGAACCTTATCTCTAATTAAACCAGCAATTGGAGAAGAAGAGGGTGACTGTTAAAGAAAGCTCTGTAATAAATATATATGTGTGTATATATATATATATATATATATATATATCTATAGAGTAATATTGATTATAGAAATGTAAAGTAACTTGCACAGAAAGAGAAAGAGAACGAAAGAGAGAGAGAGAGAATGAAAAGTTTCTCATTCAAGTCTATCTTCAGCATTAGATACAAATGGCCTTTTATAGGCTCAAAATTGAAGCTTCCCAAACAAGCCAATAATGCATCTTCCGCCATACGTCACAAGAAAATCCTCATTGATGACTTTATCAATTCGTGGACCCTACACAAGTATATATATATATATATATATATAACACTCCCCCTTGGGGTCCACAAAACTACACTAAGAATATGCCACGTTAAAACCTTGCTAAGGAAAACTCAGTGGGACAAAACCCTAGCGAAGGAAAAAGAGTACAGTATTCTTGTGTATCTGAAAATGGTATTGCATAAATTAAAAACTGCCTCATTAAAACATTGCCAGGAAAACCCAGTGGGATAAAACCTGGACGAAGGAAAAAGAGTATGACAATACCTCTTTGATCAATTACTCCCCCTCATTAGTTTAACCCTGAAGATTCTTTAGTTGACACATTTTAATGTTGTGCACCAACTTCTTGCATGTTGTAGTTAGAAGCGTTTTAGTGAATAGATCTGCTAGATTTTCACATTAACGTATCTTCTGAATATCAATATCACCCCTTTTCTGGAGTTCATGTGCATAAAAGAATTTTGATGAGATGTGTTTGGTCCTGTCACTTTTAATATACCCTTCTTTCATCTACGCAATGCATGCCGCATTATCTTTACATAATACTGTTGAGCTATCTTTTATTGATGCAAGACCACATGTTGTTCGAATATATTGGATCATTGACCTCAACCAAATGCATTCCCTACTTGCCTCATGAATTGCGAGTATCTCAGAATGATTTGAAGAAGTTGCAATCATTGTCTGTTTCATAGATCGCCATGATATAGCAGTGCCGCCACAGGTAAACACATATCCTATTTGTGAATAAGCTTTATGTGGGTCAGGAGATAGTCGGCATCTGCATATCCAACTAATTGAGAACTTGATGCTTTTGAATAAAACAATCCCATATTAGTTGTACCACGAAGATATCGCAATATGTGTTTGATTCCAATGTCTGCGAGTTGGTGCAGAACTATACCGTGCTAATAAATTGACTAGAAAAATTATATCAGGTCTTGCACAATTTGTAAGATACAAAAGAACACCAATTACACTGAGATAGGATACTTCAGGACCAAGGAGTTCTTCATCATCCTCTTGAGGATGAAAATGATCTTTCTTGATGTCAAGTGATCGGACAACCATTGGAGAGCTCAATGGATAGGCTTTATCCATATGAAAACGTTTTAGAATCTTTTTTGCATATGTTGATTGATGGATCAGAATACCGCTCAAAAAATGATCAACCTGCAACCCAAGGCAGAATTTTGTCTTTCCGAGATCTTTCATTTCGAATTCTTTCTTTAAATAAGTGGCCATCTTTTCAATCTCGTCCAATGTTCCTACAAAATTAAGATCATTAACATATACTGCAACAATAACAAAATTAGATTCTGATTTGTTAATAAAAATGCATGGACAAATATATTGTTTACATATCCTTCTTTGAGTAAGTAATCGCTAAGGCAATTGTACCACATTCGTCCAGATTGCTTCAATCCATATAAGGATCGCTGTAATTTTATCGAGTACATATTACGTGGTTTTGTTTCAGGCATTTTAAATCCTTCTGGGATTTTCATATAAATATCATTATCTAGTGATCCATATAAATATGTTGTAACCACGTCCATTAGATGCATATGCAATCTTTCTATGACTGCCAAATGTATTATGAATCTAAAAGTGGGTGCATCAATTACAGGGGAGTATATTTCCTCATAATCAATACCAGGTCTCTGTAAGAAACCTTGAGCTACCAGTCAGGTTTATATCTCACGATTTCATTTTTCTCATTACGCTTTCGTACAAACACCCATTTGTACCCAACAGGATTAACATTCTCAGGTGTCTGGACTACTGGTCCAAATACTTCACGTTTAGCTAATGAATTTAGCTCTGTTTGTATTGAATCTTTCCATTTTGGCCTTCTTGGACGTTTTGAGGTTCTGGATCCTCATTATAAATATCAAGAGCAACGACATATGAGAATATGTTGTCGACAACAATTTCATTTCTATTCCATCTCATTTTATAATTTAGTGAGATCTTATCATTTTCAGGTACCTTTGTTTCATCAAGGGCATGTGCCTAATCAAGGGCCATATCATCATCTGTTGCTTTTGCCTCATCAATATTTATTATTTCATTATTTTTAGGTACCTGAGACTCATCAAGAGCCTCTGCCTTATCAAAGTCTATTATCTCAGATTGATCAATAAAATATGTTGCTTATTTTGTGGCCTCTTCAGGAGTGCTAGTTTTTCTTTATGATTTTCTCTTACAAGGAATAATATCTTTTGCACCGACTGGTCTACCATGCTTTAAGCGTGTTTTAGATGCATTTGTTGCATTACTGACAGAAGGTCCCTCAGGGACAACAATTCGTGCTGGAACATTTGCAGCTAGTATATGTGATTTTATTACTTTCTTTATATCAGTAAATGCATTAGGTAATTGATTTGTAACATTTTGCAAGTGAATGATCCTCTGAACTTCTCGTTCACATTGATTTGTACGAGGATCAAAATGAGACAATTCCAGGGCATTCCAAGTAAGATCACGTTGCTGTTGTACCTTTTCTCCCCCTAATGATGGGAAAACAGTCTTATCAAAATGACAGTCAACAAATTGTGCTTTAAAGACATTATCTGTTAGAGGTTCAAGATATCTAATAATAAATGGAGAATCAAAACCAACATAAATTCCAAGTCTTCATTGAGGACCCATTTTAGTGCGTTGGGGTGGTGCAATTGGAACATATACAACACAACCAAAAACTCGTATGTGAGAAATATTTAGTTGTTGACCAAAAACAAGTTGCAATGGTGAGTACTTAAGATAAGCAGTTGGTCGTATACGAACTAATGATGCAGCATGTAATATGGCATGACCCCAGACAGAAACAGGTAATTTTGTTTGCATAAGCAAAGAACGACCAATTAACTGAAGTCTTTTAATAAAAGATTCAGCCATACCATTTTGAGTATCAGTGTGTGCAACAGGATGTTCAACTTTAATTCCAATTGACATGCAAAAATCATCAAAAGCTTGAGAAGAAAATTCAGCGGCATTATCAAGACAGATTGTCTTAATTGGGTAATCAGGAAAATGTGCCCTTAATTTGATGATTATTTAGTAAGATAATTTTTTGATCCTTTAGTGAGTGTTCATGTAAATTTTCAATAATTCGACGCATCATTGTACTCCCCGGGTGACCAAGTCGATCATGCCAAAGTATAAAAAGTTTTGAGTCACATGATTTTTTATGTATCGTAACATTGGACTCAATTGTTTTAATGGTTGTATAGTATAATCCAGAAGAGAAAACAAGGAGTCTTTCTAATATCTACTTCTTGCATGAGGTAATAGAAGTAATGTGGAGATATTCCACATTTCTTTCATTTGCGGTCTCGATATGATATCCATTACGACACAAGACTCAACAGATTTCTCCGAGATTTTGTAGAATATAAGGCATCATTGATTTGTAATCTTGTTTCATGTGGTAAAATGATATTGGCTCGTCCGGAGCCTTCAATCAAGTCGGTGGGACCTGATATTGTACTGACACTAGCATCTGTCAGAGTTAGGTGAGAAAAATATTTTTGATCTCGAAGGATTGTATGTGTTGTTCCACTATCTGCAAGACATATGTCTTCGCCATTTATTTTGGAACTAGTCAGATCCATTCCTATTCATGCAAATTTCTTTATCAGAAAAAAAATATTTATAACAAAAGAAACTTTAATACAACCTAGAAGATAAAAAAAAACTTTAATACAACAAAAACATAGTAGACAGAACATAAAAAGAAAATAGGATTAATTGGTATGGACATTTCCATCACCAATCAGGAGTCAATCTTTCCATCACGGTCCTCAAAAAAATCTGATATATTCAGATTTGTGATGCCAGCTGGCTCATCATGATTAATGAAATTCATTTCCAGATTTGTGATGTCAACTGGTTCATCATGATCAATAAAATTCATTTCCTTTTGTTTCCCCTTTTTTTTCATTGAGACTTGGTAAAGTTCAATCAGATGCTTAGGTGTATGACAAATGCTTTGCCAATGCCCTGTCATTCCACATTGATAATAAGTATTATCATGTGCTTTGGAAGGTTGAGCCACATCATTCCCTTTTACTTGTTTCATTTCATTATAATCTCTCTTTTGGGGATATGGTGTGGATCTCTGATTGCGAGAATGTAAGGATTGACATCCTTCACGGTAATAAGAATGATTTCTACCACGACCATATTCATTATTGTGCTTATTATTTTTACCACGACCATATTCACTATTATAGCCATTTCTACCACCACGACCACGTCCGTGTCCACGACCACATGATGAGGCAACATATGTTTCAAGGATCGGTGTCGATCCAGTTGGACGAGACTGGTGGTTTCTTAATAAAAGCTCATTATTTTGTTCTGCCACAAGTAAACATGATATCAACTCTGAATATTTTTTAAATCTACGCTCTCGATATTGTTGTTGTAAGAGCACATTCGGGGCGTGAAATATGGTGAATATTTTTTCCAGCAAAAGTTCATCAGTAATTGTATCACCACATAATTTCAATGTAGAGCTAATTTTAAATATGTCAAAGTTATATTCAACCACAGTTTTAAAATCTTGCAACCGCAGTTGCTGCCAATCAGCCCGAGCCTTTAGGAGGATAACTGTTTTTTGATGATCATATCTTTCTTTCAAATTATTCCACACACACAGTGAATCTCTTTCAGTGAGGTATTCAATTTTTAGCTCCTCGCTAATATGGCGCCGAAGGAAAATCATGGCCTTCGTTTTATCTTGTAATAATGCATCATTCTTTTCTTTAATTGTGTTTCCAAGGCCCATGACATCTAAATAGATCTGAGCATCCAAAATCCAAGATAAATAATTTTTGCCAGAAATATCCAAAGCCACGAATTCCAGCTTTGTCAAGTTTGACATTTTTAGAATAACTAGATGTGACAACAATATAAAAATATAATTTAGCATAGTACGTAAATAAATAAAATGGCATTTAAATGAAACAACAACATAATATGAATTATTTAAATAACAAAGGTAGTAAAACCTCAATAAATTATTAAATAATAAAAGCTGTAAAATCGGTCATGAATCATTAAATAATAAAGGTGGTAGAACCGACCATAGTGTGAGCACATATATCATTTAAGTGCACAAATTTATGTTATGAACAATAATTAATAATTAAAATTTTCTTACCCTTTGGAATCAGAAATATAATGTTCTTTGATAAAGTAAACTAACCCAACAATCTATCAAAACTAATATCACCAAATAGATATATAGTTGGGATAGAAAGAGAGAGAAAAAGGTTCTTCTTCAAATCTCAGATAGATATAGCTCATGCTGATAACGTGTAATAAATATATATGTGTGTATATATATATATGTGTGTATATATATATATATATATATATATATTATAGAAATGTAAAGTAACTTGCACAGAGAAAGAGAGAGAGATAGAATGAAAAGTTTCTTATTCAAGTTTATCTTTAGCATTAGATACAAATGGCCTTTTATAGGCTCAAAAGTGAAGCTTCCAAAACAAGCCAATAATGCATCTTCCTCCATACGCCACAAGAAAATCCTCATTGATGACTTTATCAATTCGTGGACCCCACACAAATATATATATATATATATATATAACAAGCTCTATAATTTAGTAGGTCGAGTGATCAAACATTTGGTTGGTTGGTTGATTAGATTAGAGAACAACTAAATTAAACTAAGTAATTGAATGCAATGGAGAGTAAGTATGAGAAAGAAGAGTCTTGGGGTAAGAGATCACCACCAAGCAATGCAATTCTATATTATTGACAAGTGATTAATGAGGGCAATTAGGGTGTTGCAATATTGGTGTGTGTGTGTTTGGTTGATTCAACAAGCAAGGATGACTAGTTAAGCATGTATTGTCTAAACATCATGTGAAAGGCACAATATATCTAAGTAATGAAGCATATATTGTCTAAACACCATGTGAAAGGCACAATAAATCAAAACAAGTCATTAATCCTTTCATTAGGCTCACAATCCAAATACAACACAAGATTAGAGACATATGTTACTTGTATTCAAAAGCTTGGAACATCAAACAACAAGCATGAATTGTCCTCCCATTTAACACTACATTATAATTACACTACATCTAAACTACTAGCATGAAAGTAAACTAGGGAAGAGGCACAATCCATCAAGGAATAAGTATGAACCATCAAGAGAATCACAATAGCATTCCTTTAAGCACTATGTTTTGACAATCTCTAAATATATGGCATCAATACACATAAACATGCATCAACAACACAAAATCTAGAGACAAGAACATGAACATCAATTCTAGCATACATAGACATATGAATAGAATGAAATGATCAATTGGAAGCATTAAACCACATAAATCATTGATTAAACAAGATCTATATATATCAAAGTGTCAAAACATTAATTACAACACTAATCCCTCAATAATACACAAGATTAAGATATAGAAAGCATGCTTGGGGCTAACTCTAACCCCAAGAGAATGTCTAGCCACTCATGGTGAGGATTCTCCAACCCTCAAGGGCTAACTCTATGGAAGAGGTTTGCTCCTTGTTGATGAAGATCTCCAATGGTGTCTCTAGCCTCCTATGTGTGTCTCCTCACTAAAAGCAATCCTTATCCTTATATAGGTAGGTTAAAATCACTCCCCAAATGAGCTAGGGTCGTGCACACAATATTCTCCAATGATTGGATAAAGGACAACTTTCAATGAGCTGGAATTTTAACTTTTTGCACTTGGAGGAAGTTCGATCGATCGAACCTTGGACTTGGATCGATCGAACTGGCTGAGATCGATCAAACTGAGGTTGAATCGATCCAACTGGTTGAGCTTTTTGGGAAAAGACAAATCCGAGATATTTTGGGAGATATTTTTGGAAAAAGGACAAAGGTGTTTAATGGGTGGACAGCTATGGATAAGATCAATCATTTGGATAAAGACAAAGGTGTTCGATCGATCGAAGAATGATGTTGGATTGATCGAACTTTTGGATTTAAGTGCTTTTGGGTCAAGGCTTGGATCTATCTTGAAGTGTTGAGATCGATCAATGTTCGATCGATCGAACCTTGGACTTGGATCGATCGAACTTGCTGCTTTGCTTCATTTTGCTTCTTTCTTCCTCCACTTTGCTCATTTCTTTGTTTAATCTCAGAATTGCTTCAATTAAGCTCTTATTTGGCTGAGTTAGCTTATTTTCGGGATAAGTGCCTGAAAATGAAAATAATACGAAATCAATCTAAAATGGCAAAGTAAGATAGATAAAGGTACTAGAATGCCTAAGCTTAAAGGGTTTAAATACGCATTTTTCAGTACTCATCACACCCCCAAACTTAAATATTGCTAGTCCCTAGCAATGAACTAGAAAGTAAAGGAATGAAATGAACAACTATACAACTATAAACTAGAAAATAATAAATGGATAACGCCACTTTCGTAGGGAACACGATTGCATTTAGCATATGTAATAAGCCTTTTAAACCCCTAGGTTACCCCTAGTAGACGAGTAAAGTCTCATGAAGGTTTCCAGAAATGGTACCCACAAACATTAGGCTCATTCTTTCAAAAGAGGCACCAATATTGCAAACAAGCATCGAGTATGCAATGTTTCAAACATTTCTAAGCAATCTCCCAAAATTTCAACATCAAGCAAGTAAGTATGGTCCTCCACACATCAAGAAAATGATCATGCAAATCAAAACAACTCTAGAATCCTTTTGAGTGGACCGACATCAATGTGTTGCTATCTTAGCCAATTAAAGAATTAATCACATCCTTACCCTCAAACTAGCACACAAATCTAATACCAGTCATCAAGACAAAAAGTGGACCTTTTATTAAAACTTTATTCATCTAGGTGCGCTTAATTCTTTTCACTCGATTTTTTTTTTATTTTTTATTGAGGATCAAAGATGGAAGCATAGTGCAATGTGTTGATCTCTTAAGCTTTCAAGTGATTCATGTAATACCCCTAATTTTAAAAAGAATATTCCTGGTATTTAATGGTATTTAATTTATTATTTAAGTGCATTTTATTTGATTATGTATCATTATTTTTTTTTTTGTTAGGTGCTTAATTGTTTTCTTTTGTGGTGATTTAATTTATTTAATTGGCATTAATGGTTTAAGTGTAATTGGTTTAATTATTCTATGTGTGTCTTATTTTATGTGTGTCTTATTTTGTTTAATTGGGTTTACTAATTATTATTTTGTTCAATTAGATTATTTGTCGATCCTTTGAAAAATTTACTCCTAAATGGCATTCATAAGGCATATAAGGAGTATTGGACTCTCAAGTTAAGCAATTTTTAAATTTTAAGCAATATAGTCCTCAAAAGATCAAAATCATAGCTAGGTATGGACCAATCATAGAAATATCCCTCAAATACACGAGTCATGCTAAAAATTTGAATTTAAAACTATTACTGTAGAGCACCATTCCCCCCAAACTTAAATGGCACAATGTCCTCAATGTGCAAAAGAATAAAGGAAAGAGTATACCAGTGCAACTAAATAAGAATGATCGGGACTGAAGTATCCAAAGTGGGTGGCATTGCCCCCCCAAACTTGGGATGAACTGTGGTCCTGAAAATTGGCACTTGGTCAAACTTATCAGATAACAAAATGGGATAATCAGTGCACAGTGGACATGCAAGTGTAAATGGGATAAACAGATAACGAAATGAGAGAGGTATAAGGATGGTCCTGAAAATTGGGTAGCACTCTCTCACTGAAGTCATTGTGATGCACCTGATGGAGTCAAACATACAGATATGAGAATACAATCATATGACATCCATAGCAAAAATAGATATATATATATAAAACGGATAAAGTACAGGTACAAAAATATCAAAGCCGACAGACCGGCTATAAAATAATATAGTGACAATAATAAAGTATCAAAAGGAGAGAGGGATCAAAAGATAGAAAAGACTAGGAGCTCAGGACGACGAGGTAGGACTAGCAGGTCTGGCGCCACGGATGTCTCGGGATAGATCTTTGAACATGGTCGCGACATCCGTGCGGAAGGTAGCGAACTCCGCTCTGTGGGCCGTGAGGTCAGCTCTGATGGCAACAACAGTGTCCTCGAGCGTCTGCAGACGCACTCCGAAGCCAATGGTCAAGTCTGGTATGGATGAGTCAGAAGATAGCTCCTGGGTCTGCTCCTACTCGTGGATAGGTGACCCGGCTGGAGAATGCTGAGATGCGTCCTCCGCTGAGTGCTCCAAGTCAATGTCTATATCAATGTCATCATGCTCAGCAGCTGGATCGATTGGTGCATCGTTCGCTGCGGGAGCTGCTGGCTCTGCTGGTATAGGGGCTGCTTGTGCTGCCGCCTCCTCCTCTAACTCTAGCTCTGCAGCCGCCAGTACGGCATGGACCTGCAAGCGAGTGATAATAGCTCTATAGCTCTTGTCCCAGTCCTTCTTGCGGAAGTGACAGGAACCTCTCTCGGGGTCCTCCTGTGGGTGGATGGGATAGCGCTGGTCAATGAGAATCTGGGTGATGAGGTGGCTGAATGAAAGAGACTTGGCCCTTCCGGGCGCCTCCTTGCTGACGTACTCATCGTAGAGCTTCCTCATCACGCTCCAGATAAGCGCAGGAATAGATACCCAGTGGCCGGTATAGAAGGCGTACAGGGCTGCTAGATAGTCGCCCCACCTCTGAATCTTGTGTCCTGCCATGTATATGTTTCGGTAGAGCACCGAATCTGTAAACCACAGGTCATTCTGCAAGAATGTCCGGGTGGCGAAGGTCTCGCCACCGGTATGGTGACCTGTGAGAAAAATCGCCACATCGGCGTAAGAAGGCCTGTGGAGCCTGGGATATGTCTCCTGAAGCTTTGACGGGCACCGATGTGGACAGCGAGTCA